GGAAGTTAACAGAGGAACGGCCCCTGCTGGCTGTTACTGCAAATTCAGCAGGGCTTATTTGAGGCACTAAATGGATACAAACAGCCACTGAAATGCCTTTTCAGTCCCAAACTTGATTCCAAGCTTCAGGCTGAGGCCCTAGAAAGAAAAACCAGGTCTGAGGGATCCAAAGTCAGGCAACAGGCACAATGTAAATGGGCAGGACCAATTCTTCCTGACTGAACTCCACCCCACAAAGGAGGTCATGATTCAAAGTTTGCCAACAGCAGAGAGAAAGGGAGGCATAGACGAGGGTGCTTAATTTCTGTTCTCCAGGTTTTCCCTGCTTTATGGGTACATATTGCATTGGTACCCATGGCCAGTATGTGCCAAGGTCATCGGGGTTCAGGTACAAAAGGTGGAGAGTGGAGGGAGGATGCTCGCCTTTTCCCTCCATCACATCCTGAGTATTTGCTGAAAGAAGGAAGGGAATGAGAGATGCCTGTGTTCCCTGACTTTCAGAATGGGCAACCAGTTATCTTCATCACCCCCAGCTTATACTTGTCTGGAGTGTATCCTGAACCACTGGGACTACTTTGACCCTCAGAATATTGAGGAAAAATGGTCCCTAATGTGGGGTGAGAGGTCCTGGGTTCAAATTCCATATGAGCCCCCAGTTAAAATGGGAAAAGTTCCCTTGTCCCTCTCACAGGGCGTGTGACAAGGGGAGTGACTCACTTCTTCAGTGTCCTGCTGCTCAGACCTCTAGGGGAACATAACAGATGGGCAGGCTTTGGGGCTCCAACCCCAGGGCAGTGTCTAGGGGTGAATGTTTACAGCTGAAGCCCCAGTGGATGTGTGTTACAGGGTGCTCTTTCAGTTTAGCCATCTGCAGACAATTTGTGTTCGTCGGCTCAATTAGACCCCTGCCTTACTGCAAGGACAGAGGGCTTTCTCTATCCTGGGATTCTTGCCTTGGTGTACCGAAAGAATCGGATCACACGTGGTCTTGGAGAAAGAGTGCAAAGTTTTATTGAGTGGAAGTAGCTCCCAGCAGATGGGGGAGTCAGAAGGGAGATGGTTTTCCCCTGGAGTCAGGCAGCCCAGTAGCCCGGGCTCTCTTCTGACTGCCCCAGCCAAACTTCACATTGTTCTGATGGTCAGTGTCCTGCTGGCATGCCAGTGCCTGTTGGTGAATTCCTCTGGATGTCCAGCCACCCATGTGTTTTTCTGTTGATGTGCTTCCTCTTGACTCCAGCTGCTTGTGTGTCTGCCTGCTAGGGTCTTGGAGTTTTTGTTGTTGTTGTTGTTGTTGTTGTTGTTGAGACAGAGTCTCATTCTATTGCCTAGGCTGGAGTGCAGTGGCGCAATCTCAGCTCACTGCAACCTCTGCCTCCTGGGTTCAAGCGATTCTCCTGCCTCAGTCTCCTGAGTAGCTGAGATTACAGGCACACACCACCATGCCTGGCTAATTTTTGTATTTTTAGTAGAGAAGGGATTTCACCATGTTGGTCAGGCTGGTCTTGAACTCCTGACCTCACGTTCTGCCCGCCTAAGCCTCCCGAAGTGCTGAGATTACAGGCATGTGCCACCGTGCCCTGCCGGGTCTTGGAGATTTTATAGCACAGGATGGGGGTGTGGCAGGCCAGGGTGGAAATGCAACATTTAAGCAAGAAAACAAAAATACCTGTCCTCACCTAGGTCTGTGGGCACAGGCCTGGAGGTGGAACCCTAGCCAGGACCATGCCCTCCTCTTCCCAGAACTTTGCTTCCTCTTTCCATAACATTTAAAGGGACCACACCCTTCCCTTCCCAGCACTTCTGTATCAAAACTCTGTCTTTACAAAAAGCAAAACCAAAAACCCTCTGGCATGGTGGCACATGTCTGTGTTCCCAGCTACTTGGGTGGCTGAGGTGGGAGGATCACTTGAACCTGGGAGGTTGAGTCTGCCATGAATTTTGATTTCACCACTGCACTCCAGCCTGAGTGACACTGAGACCCTGTCTCAAACATAAATAAATAAATAAAAAGAGGGGGCTGGACGCAGTGGCTCATGCATGTAACCACAGAACTTTGAGAGGCCGAGGTGGGTGAATCACTGGAGGTCAGGAGTTCAAGACCAGCCTGGCACATATGGTAAAACCCCATCTCCACTAAAAATGCAAAAATTAGCTAGGGGTGGTGGCAGGTGCCTGTAATCCCAGCTACTCAGGAGGCTGAGGCAGAAGAATTGCTTGAATCCAGGAGGCAGAGGTTGCAGTGAGATTGGGCCATTACACTTCAGCCTGGGCAACAAGAGTAAAACTACGTCTCAAAAAACAAACAAAAACAAACAAACAAAACAAACAAACAAAAACAAACAAAAAAAGAAGACAAGGGTAAATATCGCATCTTACATGGCTAAATATCATGTCTTACATCTGAACAATGTTGTCTTACTTGTCTTCAACATTCAGAGATGACTTACTGTGTTTCAGATTGTGCTTTATGGTTTATATCTATCTTCCTAAGCTTAAATGAATTTCATCTGATGTCTTTATTTTAAAAACTAAAACCAACTATTCAAATATGTGTAATACAATTTCCAGGATGTAACATTTGAATCGTCTATAGAGGGGACTACACAGTCAGTATTGCCTTCCAAACCCAACCTGCCACGTATTTTTGTAAATACAATTTTATTGGAACACAGCTACCTAACCCTATTGATTAGCATTGTCTATGACTGTTTTTGCAGTACATGCCAGAGATGAGTAGTTGCAACAAACACAGTATGACCCACAAAGCTGAAAATATTTACTATCTGACTCCTCAGTAAATGTTTGTTAACCTCTGGTCTATGACAACAGGAGATACTTCACTCTTAATTTCTAATTACGTTCTATATATGGCATTTTATTTTTTCTCTCCCAAGAAAAGCCATAAAACACTTGTCTTAATTAGTAGCATCTAAATTTGCTTAGACATTTTTTTTAATCACAAAATAGTTATTTACTTGTACAGGGAAATTATTCTTTCTAAAAGAAAGGGAAATATTTCTTTAAAATGCTCACCAAAACACTGTGATGTAGATGCTAAGATGTTATCACCATTTTAGAAAGAAAAAACTGTTTAGCCATAGAGACAGCATTTATTGAAAAAAAAAAAAAAAGTTGGGCATGAATTATGTGTCAGGTCCTGAGCTAGGTGATGGAGTGAAAAGAAAGTAGGAAAGTAGGATTTCTAGCATTGAAGAAGTCAGTCTGGACTGCATAACTTGCCCCAAGTCATGCCCTTAATAAATAGCAGCATCAAGTTTTGAGCTCAGTTTAAATGGTCCTGAAGCTCTTTTCATTCAATTCATGCTTTTCAAACTTAGGTGTGTAAGGCCTGCCCCTACCACTTAGATCATGAGCCACAGATAGACAAAAATACAGAATAACATGACTTCAATTTTACTAGATGGTATATGACTTTAAACAAAATTTTATATTAAAATAAGCCTGGCTGTTTTAAGGTGGCGAATGCAAATTTCAAATATATATTTAAGATAATAGAAATACTTCAAATAAACAAAGGCTTTCAGTGCCCCAGCCCCTAGGGGTGAAATATTCTCTCTGGCATACTCTTATAGTAAGAAGAAAAGAGAAAAAGAATAAAATCTTTGGGGAAAAAAATGTACAAAGGGAAACCTTATTATAGGCAGGATTTAAACATAAAGAAGAAAAAGAGAAAGTTTGAAAAAGAGAGCCCTCAGATGCAAACTTGAAAATGACTTTCACAGAGTGTGGTTGGTCAATCTGCCACCGAGAAACCTAATTAAGACATCTGCTAAAAGGTACCAATTAATGGTGGTCTCACTGTCACACCCTTTTAATTGACATGCTGTGATTTCGTTCCAGATTAACTTCATAAGTGGTTCTCTTTATAGAAAGATCACTTAAATTAAAAGCAGACTGTAAATGGGGATTTGTGATGTTAATAGGCCAGTGTAACCTTTGTATCATTTACATACATTTCCATTTTTTCCAATGCATATTTGCATATATTGGAGGATGTCACTGAAGGCTTTGCATGGGCAACATTAGTATAATAATGAGCATCCGACTGGCACAGTGTCCGAAGAGTCTTTATTTGACCTCTCCTTAGCATTCATTTTGGAGATATTTTTGCTTCTGCAACAATAATAACATAAAATCCATGTTCCAGAAAACCCACGTTCAGCTTTTACTTATCCAGGTGCAATAAATGTGTGGGAAACAGCATTGTCTTGAAGCATGGAGACCTTATAACATTTGAACAGTTGCTTAGTTCTTGAAAAGGTCAGTGTACATTAGTGATGCTCAAAAACTCTTAAAAGCCTTGGCACAATGTGGTAGCCCATTGATATTCATCACTGTGGTAGCCTAATACAACAAGCCTGCGATCTGGGGAGTTTAGGGAAGAGATCACATTCAAATGGGGTTCAGAATGGAAATTTCAGACAAGGGGCACTGACGTTGAAGTGAAATTGGAGCCTACCAGACCAGATTCCAGCTGTGGGTCTGCTCCCATCTGATCTTCATCCCTCTGAGTCTCAGTTCTGCATCTGTAAATTCTGTGTGATAGCACTTACCTTATGTGTGTGGTGAAGATTGGGATAGCAAGTGTAAAAACAATAGTATGTAAAGTTTAAGAATTGAGGACAAAATTTGGCCTCCTGGTAGCCAAAGCACAAAAGGGGACAGTGTACGATTCAATGTTCTGTAACTGGTTCTGAGACTCTCTTCAGTTGCTGGGACTGTACATGGAGCAGTGGCACTGGCAGTGGCACTTCCAATATGTGTTTTGAAAAAAAAATTTGAGCAAATCAAGTGTAACTATGTAATTAAACCTCTCCTTCACGTCACCTTTCATGTTACGTGGGTATCACATTCCATAATGGCAGATTTAAAGTACCTGGAAAGCTTGAGTTTAAATACTGCTCTTTCTGGGTTCATAGAAATGAGCTGTATGGTTCTTTTGTACAATTTTGACAATCATCATTTCTTTCTTGAAACAGGGTGACCAACTCTCCTTAGTGATCTCCATAATCATTGGTCGTTCTTCTTCTTCACCTCACTTCAATTTCCGTGTCCCGCTCATCATGGTGCGTATTAAAATGACTCTCACTAGCATATCTCCACCAGAACCAACTCTAAAGGAATGAGGTTTACACAGCAATGTTTTTCCAATTTTTGCAGTTTATCATTCAGAATCAACTCAACTTATTTTGAGAAAGGATTGAGTCTTTATTATGTCTCACTGTCAATAAAGCCTTCCATAGTATCTTCGTGAGTAAGCAGCAGAATCTCATAAAATTCATATCCTATAGATGGACATTGGGCCACAGGATGGGGCAGACACAATAAGGGATTAAATACCTGGTGGCATCTTGCTTATGGACTGTGGGAATTAGGGATGGGACTGTGTGTTCCCAGGTTTTCAAATGCTGGGAGGATTGGTAGAGGCAGGAAAAGTAGCAAAGGAGCAGAGTGGCTCCAGAAAGCCATCAGGACAACTTTGAACTGCACAGAAAGCAATTCTATGTCTCACCAGTGGCAATAACTTTGAGAGTTTTAGGAGGCTTGGGTAAGGTGTAAAGCTCTTGAAACTGTCCTACTTTATTATTATAGAAAACAGTGTTAGTCACAGTGTGTGTGTGTATCCAGCATGCTTTCCAACACTTTTTCTTCTGATTCCTTTGGGGAATCCCTCCCTCCATCCATGCAGTCTTGGTAGAGGATAGAAATTAATTGCCCTTACACCTAGCTCAACAAAGGGTATGTGACCTTAACTGGGCAGGGCACGCCATCCATCTAGGTAGAGTGATTGGCTTACAGGTGTTCATATACAACCCATGCAGGCTTAGTCAGTGTCTTTCCTGGAATTAATATGTGAACTTTGGCAGTAAGACTCTTTTTCCATTGACATTGAAGAACAAGGAAGAAGTGGGTTTAGATATGCAGGCAGGCTTCTGAGGGAAATCTTTTAGTAGATGAAACCAAGCAGGGTTGAGACATGAAGAGAAAGATATACTCTAGGACCTACCCATTCCTGAGCTTCCTAGTCATATGAGCCAAAAAATTCTCTTTTCACTTCAACCAGTCTGAGTCAGGTATCTGATACCACTTGTAACTTAAAGCCAATCAAGTCTTGAAAAGGGAGGAAAAGAGAGATGTACAGCCAAAGGAATGAAATATTTGGCAAGAAAATAGAAATCACCTGCTTGTGAATTAACCTACTCTAATTTTTCTTTTGTGAACTTTGTGCCTGCAATGTCTTACAAAAGCCCTAATTATTTTGGGGCAAGTGTCACAATTATTAGCATCAAGCTCTCTATCTAACATGTAACAAAGTCCATTCTGTGGTACCATGCAGGGCTTTCCACTTTTAACCCTGTTAATAAAATGTGAAAGAGATTTGAGAGAAAGAAGACTGAGAAGCAATGCGATACCATGTAAACAATAGTGGATTTTAAATTAGGGCCTGAGATTGGAATAAACATTTTGACACCCCCCTTGGGAGTATTTGCTTTGTTGCCCTGAGCTTTAGTTGCTTTAACATGGAAAAGGAATGAGAATAATGATAATCCTTACTACACATGGTTTTCATGTGAATTATCCAATATACTGTAAATAATGTAGAGTGGCCAGCACTGAAACCACCTTTGCAAAATTATAACTGAGGAAATTACGACAGTGAAAGAAGTCAGACCTCGCTGACTCTATCTTGCCTCTACCCTTAAGTTGTCCTTTTATATTCCTACCTGTAGGGCCGAACTAACTTTGGGAAGGAATTCAGTTCATGGTTTGACTCTGAAACAAAATTGATAACAGCCCTTTCCCAAAAAGATCCCCCTTCTTGCCTGCGGTCCAATCTGCCTTTTCAGGACTAACAAATTAGCTACAAGATCAGAAATTACAATTTAGGGGTCATGCAGCCTCTGGTTCCAAGAGTCTGAACCTTCCCAAATTGCTCTCAGGGATAACATCACTGTTGTAAAACCGAAGATCAGTTCTTGAGATGTTTTGCAGACGCTGCAGTTGACGGATCAGCTGACACCACCCGGGCTAGTAATCTGGCTCAACCAGTTCTGCCGTCCCACCCAGGAACAAAAGACAGCAAGAAAACCTAACTTCGACGCCCGCCCTGTGATTCCATCTCCAACCTGACCAATCAGCACTCCCCACTTCGTGAGCCCCTACTTGCCAAGTTATGATTTAAAACTATGATTCTCGAATGCTCGGTGAGACTGATTTCAGTAATAATAAAACTCTGATCTCCCGCACAGCCGGCTCTGCGTGAATTACTCTTTCGCCTTTGCAATTCCCCTGTCTTGATCAATCAACTCTGTCTAGGCAGCGGGCAAGGTGAACCCACTGGGCAGTTACAGCACTGACAGTAGTAGGTTGTCAATTAATGATTTATCTTGCTTTTAGACAAAACAATGTTGATGGTATTTGGTGATGGTATTCAAAGAGAATAGAACAACTACCTCCACTCCCATCCCAAAGCAGAGGCAGAAATCCTTTCTAGGAGCCAGAAAGCAGTAGAGATATTTATTGATTGATGTGACTGTGTGTGTGTCTGTGCGTGTGTGTGTGTATATATATACATATGCATACACATATATATATATGAATATATATGGGTATATATAGGTATATATGTATATATTGATCTCTCTCTATATATAGATATCTATGTATATAGATAGATATATCCCCTTGACGGAGCACAGCTTATTTCTTGGAGGTCAAGAGGCCAGCCTCCTGAGGACAATGCTGAGACAGACAATCATATGAGGCAGCGGATGCTGAGAAGGGAGGGCTGAACCATCAGAGTGAAATCAAACTTGGTCAGGAAGTAGAGGAAGCGCCCATCAGGGACGTGGGAACCCTGGGCAGTTGTTCTTACCCTGAGTAATTTTACCCCTCCTAAGGGACTTTTGGAAACTACTGGAGACATTGTTGATGGTTAAGACGCAGGGAGGAGTATGGGTGTGCAACTTGCATCTCTCCAATAGATAAAAAGCCAGGGATGCTGCTCACCCTTCACAGTGCACACCACAGCCCCACAACAAAGAAAACCCAGTCCCAAACGTCAGTGGTGCTGATGTTAAGAAATCCTGCACTAAGACCAAAGAGCCAGGTGAGTTTGGAGTCACTAAGGAGAGGTACAGGAGAGGCGGCAAGTATCCTCCGCAGATGGAATGCACAGAGGACGGCGCATCCTGAAGCAGAGTAACACCGTGCCCTCGGGCTGGGATTGCTGCTGCTGGCTGGCTGTACTGGGCTCCCTCTCACTTCTAGGCTCCGGGCTACATACTGTGCCTGCTTATTTGTGTGTCTAACAGACTTCAATGTTACTGACAGAAGCTGACCTGAGAGCAACACAGAATGGAGATGTGTGGAGGGGTAACACTTCCTTAGTTTGAGCCTCCATCCTAGAGGCTCATGTTTAGATCTCAGCTCTAGAACTCACTGGGTGTGACTTGAAGCAAGTTAAGGAATCTCTCTTTTTCTAACCTGTATCCTGAGGATCTTGATACCTATATTTTGAGGTTGTTTTGAGGATTCAGGAAGATAATACATGAGTAGAATCTAGAAACCTGGTAACTGTCTTAAAACTAATGTGAATTTGCCAGCCCAGTAGTCCTGGGTATTAGAGCTGAAGGGCAGTCAAGAAGTTCTCAGTCCTGGCTTCATAGCAGGGCAGAACCCCTCCAAGGATTCTGGTGTAATTTTCTGGGACTCTGTAGGTTGTGAGAGCTCCCCAGAGGATTCTAGTGGGTAGCCTTATTTGAGAACATGGATCTAGTACCGCCATTCATCTCGCAGGTCAGGGAATTGAGACTGAAAAGTGAGTTCCACAAAGATACATAGGTATTGTTTGAGGAGCTAGAATTAAAATCAGGTCTCCTGACCATGCCCTGGAGTTTTTCCTTCCACCTCTCAGTGTCTTCTTTGTTTTAGTGAGTAAGGATGAAGTAGTAGGTAAGCAGGTCAAGACACCAGATCTAGGTTTTACCTGAGTTTGTCCAGTGACAAGCATGTCTTCCTTCTAATTAATCTGCACCTAATAATGCCTTCTCTTCCCTTGGCTTTATAACCGGGATAGCATGGGGTCCTGGAAATAAATGGTAAAAGGGAAAGAAAACCTAATAGACATCCAGCAGCTCCTATAAGTCAAATTTGTTATAGGTGCTTTATTATGATTGCTTAGTTTATTTTCACAATAACCCTAGGAGGTTGGTATTTTTAGGTCTGTTTCAAATGTTGAAAGAGGCTCAGATGGATTTGGTCAGGTGCTCAGGGTCTCACAGTTGATAAGTGGATTGTGCTTAGCTCATAACTTTCCAAAGCCAATATTCTGTCAGAGTCCACCAGAATGTATGTGCCACAAAGGCAGGGATTTAAAATATCTGTTTGTTTTTTCTCCTGCTATTGCTTACAATACTGATAGCACATAGTAGGTACTCGATAAAATTTTGTTAAATTGATGAGTGAGTGACACCAAACTATACAGGCTGTCCTAGTCTGTTCTTGCATTGCTGTAAAGAAATACCTGAGACTAGATAATTTATAAGAAAGGAAGTTGAGTTGGCTCATGGTTCTGCAGGCTGTCCAGAAGGTATAGTGGCATCTGTGACTGGGAGGCCTCATGAAGTTTCCAATTGTAAAGGAAATTTACAAGGAGGGAGCAGCCATGTGACAGTGAAAGCAGGAGCAAGAGAGAGAGTGGGGAGATGCTACACACTTTTAAATGACTGGATCTCATGAGAACTCACTATCATGAGGACAGTACCAAGGGAGATGGCTTTAAAGCATTCGTGAGAAACTGCCTCCCCTCAAGACCCAATCACTTCCCACTGGGCCCCACTTCCAACATTCGGGATTTCATTTCAATATGAGATTTGGGCAGGGACACACATCCAAACTACATCACAGGCCTTAAGACCTGGAGACTAGAGATTTTTGAGTCCAATAAAATATACAACATAGAAGGAAAATTTTCCAATTTAATGTTTTGTAATCCACTAGCTTTCAAAACATCTGCAAAGGAGCACAGCATATTGAAAACACCTCCTCCAAGCTGTGTGATGCCAGGTGTTGTATATAAAATGAAAGCAATATTCTAAGAATATGAGAAATGTGTATATATGTGTGTGTGTGTGCTGTTACATTGTTAAGGGTATTTTTTTGAAGTTGTAGTTAAGGGGAGAAAAAGCAATTATAGCTAGCAATTGTATTTTTTTGTTTTGTTTTGTTTTGAGACTGAGTGTCTGTCACCTAGGCTGGAGTGCAGTGGCGTGATCTTGGCTCACTGCAACCTCCACCTTCCAGGTTCAAGCGATTCTCCTGCCTCAGCCTCCCTAGTAGCTGTGACTACAGGCACGTGCCACCATGCCCAGCTAATTTTTTTGCATATATATACACACACATACACACACACACACACACACACACACACACACACACACACATATATATATATATAGCTTTAATAGAGATGGGGTTTCACTATGTTAGCCAGGATGGTCTCAATCTCCTGACCTCGCAATCCACCCTCCTCGGCTTCCCAAAGTGTTGGGATTACAGGTGTGAGCCACGGCACCCAGCCAGCAATTGTATCTTACACAGCAGTTATCCCCAACCCCCAGTCCACAGACTGACAGACTGGTCCCGGTCCATGGCCTGTTAGGAACCAGGGCCACACAGCAGAGGGTGAGCGGCAGCAGGGCTGGGGTCGGGGGAGAGTGAGCGTTTCTGCCTGTGCTCTGCCTCCTGTCCGATCAGCGGTGGCATTAGATTCTCATAGGAGCATGAATACCACTGTGAACTGAGCATATGAGGGATCTTGGCTGTGAGCTTCTTATGAGAATCTAATGCCTAATGTTCTGAGTGGAACAGTTTCGTCCTGAACTGCCCCCCTCCATAGTCCATGGAAAAATCGCCTTCCACGAAACTGGTTCCTGGTGCCAAAAAGGTTGGGGGTCGCTGTTATAGAGTGCTCCAGCACACAGAGCCCAACATGAGATGTGCCTAGTAAGAGAAGCTGACTCTGGGCATTTGGGAAGTTGGGACAGGCAGATTGCTTCTCATCTCACTGGGACAGAGCTAATCTGCAGGCTAACTAACATCCTTACATCCACCACTTTCCAAATCACTGCAACTTGCTCAGAAATGTACCTTTCTCATTCCTGCCTCTTCAGGATATGGCTCTCGTAGGCACCCCAGAAATGCCTGCTGAGTGAAATGATGATGTGTCCCTATAGAAATGATATTTTTCTCTGCAAATGCACATGTCTCAGGAATTGCAAATCTATGATCTTCCCCAAAGAATAACCTCTGGTTCATTTTGGATTGAGTCAGGATGTAACTAATTTCGCTACTTTTACAGTTTATCACATCCTTGCTTCGTCCTTGCTCCGAACAGTCAGCTAAGATATTATCTCCATGTTGCAAGTAAAGCAAAGTAGGCTCAGAGAGCTTGAACAATCTTCCCAAGGCCACTCAGCCAGGAAGTGGGAGCAGAAGGATGTCAGTTCTGGTCTACTGAACTTCAAGATACAACCAGTTCTGAGCAGTAAAGGACTAACCTTGGGCAGTAAAAGGTTTGGGCCTTGACTGTCTCCTGGGAGATCACCTCTAAGCACCTGGAATATCTTCTTTTTTTTGAGATGGAGTCTTGCTCTCCCGTCGCCCAGGCTGGAGTGCAGCGGCGCGATCTCGGCTCACTACAACCTCCGCCTCCTGGGTTCAAGTGATTCTCCTGCTGCAGCCTCCCAGGTAGCTGGGACTACAGGCATAAGCCACCATGCCCAGCAAATTTTTGTACTTTTAGTAGAGACAGGGTTTTACCCTGTTGGTCAGGCTGGTCTCTCTAACTCCCGACCTCAGGCGATCCCCCCACCTCGGCCTCCCAAAGTGCTGAGATTACAGGCATGAGCCACCATGCCTGGCCCATTTCTATGCCAATATGTTATTTATCATGGAGACCTTGGGCCACAGAGTATTGGCTGGACCTCTGGAGGGACTGAAGGCTAAGGTCAACCATGTGGACAAGCAGTCAGGTCTATGGAATCAACCCAGACACCAAGGTTCAAGCAAGCTCCTTTTGTTTGCAATCCTCTGTGCATGTTGCCATGTATCATTGCTGGAAGGAGGGTGTGTTGTCCATGAGACTTTCCTGGGAGACAACAACCAGATTCTCGCACCTGGAACTCTCCCAGACCTTCCTGTAGGTACCTTTTCCTGTTGCTAAATTTAATCTGTAATCTTTTCT